TCTCAGTGAGGTCCCACAGCCATCCAGGCAGGAGTGTGGACTCAGTGTCACAGTCAGGCTTTCCCAAAGCCACTTCAGTTCCCAGCTCCTGCCCAGCCAGAGGAACTGGGGTGAGGCTATGGCCAAGTCTCAGGGCAGGAAGGGAGGGCTGGCTCTGACCATTCCAAGGGCAAACATCGAGGCCTGGCAGCTGCAATCCACAGCAGGAGAGAGAACATCTGCTATCCTGTGWGTTTGAAATCAGTAGCTGGGAATAAAATAGAGAAGGCATGGTTGGGATCAGGCTGCTTAGCAAAGTTTAAACCCAAGTGAAGTTTAAGCCCAGGAGAGTAGCAAGGCCTCAGGAGCTCACGTGGGGATGCTCTCACACTGGGTGTTTCCTTGCAGGGGAGTGAAGATAGCAATCCCACCCACGGTGCACCAAGGAGACACCCASACAGGGTGGGTGCTGTGCAACCACTGCACCCCAAAGCTCCTCACACTGGACAGCCCAGCAATGCCTGCAGCATCCTGCAAAACTGACAGCCAGTCCCCAGAGAGCCCCTCTCCTCAACCCCCTTCTCTCCTCATCCCTGCTCACTGCCTGCCCTTCCTCACCAGTGCTGGGAAGAAATCCCCATTGCTGTTCTACATGTGACTCTCTCAGAACCAAACCCCTGCTTTTCCTGCCATCCCTTCATTTGCCTCTCCTTCAGCTGTCCCGGTGGTGTAACATGGATTACAGCCGAGCTCTGCGAATCTGTTTGCTGTAGGTTTGAGATGAAGACACCTTTGTAGCTGCTCAGTCTGGGCATGTTCACTGCTGCCCTGCTCCACTGGGAATGCTCTGAATCCAGGGATCACTAAAAACTGCTCCCAGCTTCATGCATGTACCCAAACACTGGCACAAGGGGTGGATGTGGGGCCAGGCTGTGCTCACCACCGTGTGCTGGTGCAGAGTGACCACAGGACAGGTGAGCTGGGACATGTCCTGGGCAGTGTCTGACCATTTCTGCTCTTGGCTGTAATAACCACACGCCTGAAGCAGATTAATTCTCCTTCCCCATCCCTAACAAAGGAYGYCTTTCCTGGGCRTCCTGTCCCARCCCTGCCTTCCCACCACACATGCACTTAGCCTATTAGGATCTCTGCTGATTGCTTTCTTTCATTCCTCTCATACCTTTCACTTCAGAAAATGGACTGGTAATACTTCTTTTATCAAAGAATTATGGGATTTAGGACCCAGATCTTACAAAGAGACTTTTGATAGCTGCTGGTAATCAAATCCCAATCGGCAGACACTTCTCTGCACCCTGTTACCAGGGAGGAATAAAGGAAAGGGATTTCTGATGTTCTGTTTACTGAGCCTCTGGGAGATAGGATCGCTGGGCTATTTCATATTAGAAAAGGAAAGGAAAATAAAACAAGAAAGAAAAAAAAAATGCAGACAAGGGAGGACAATATAGATATAGATAAAAAGAAAAGAAACAGGCTCTTATCATTTTCTTATTGGTTAAGGAGATTCCAAAGCCATTATAGAGGATTAGCAAAAAGGTTAATCTGCTTTAGCCGTTCACTTGTCAAAAGTGAATTTATAGGGTTTGAAAATCCTCCCTATGGTGAAACAAGAAAAAAAAAATCCCTCTTTCCCTGCTCTGCCCCTCCCTTCTGCAGGCAGCACAAGGCAAAGGGAACAGGAGCACTGAAAACCCTACACATGGCAGCAGTCCCTTCTGTCTTGTCCCYGCCTGGGTGCTGTGGGAGCTGTGGTTTGGCAGTGCTTCTCCCCACTCCGTGTCACCTGTGTGGGGTGGCTGTGATTCTCTGGGAATGGAGGATCACGTCTGAGGGATGWAACCATCCTCCTGCACTGCTCTGCCTTACCTGGGACAAATCCTGGGCTGTTCCACTCATTGATGTTGGCAGCAGCCCAAGCAAACCTGGACCCCTGGCTGAATTTGGGCTTCCAGGCTGATTTCTAAAGCAGAACARTGATTGAAGCTGGTGACAAATGTTGTCAAAAACTGCAGGCTTGGGGCTTTCCATCCCAAGGGAAGTATTTACACTGAGATCCACATCTCAGTGTCCTCCTGGCCGCCCAGTGTAGCTGTGTTTCCATGTGCCACTGTGTTTCACTGTTGCCACTGTGAGAAACAACCCAAGGTAAAAACGGTCCTTCAAAATCAAAAACAAGAAGCATTTTCTGTGTAGCTGAAATTTAGTGGGATGTCTAAAACCATGTTTAATAAAAAAGAAACAAAAATTCTAGAATCAGGGAATGGTTTGGATTGRAAGGGACCTCTAAAAATCAYCTTAAAATTGTGCCTAATAAATAGTTCAACCCTGTGCCAACCATAGGAAGACATGGAATCTCTCCAGTGGGGAGTAGTGTTATTAATGATACCACGAGTAGGGATGCTGGCTATCAGAGATGATCCCTACCACAAGTAGGGATGCTGGCTATCAGAGATGATCCCTACCACGAGTAGGGGTGCTGGCTATCAGAGATGATGCTCGTGGCATAGCAGGAGGACTGTGGGGTACCAGACCTCCTCTTCTGCAATGAACCACGATGGAACCAGACAACTGCTTCACCCTGAAGCATTCCAGTTAGCATTTCAGAGCTCTTACACTATCTCAACACTGTCCAAATCCCTATGCTCGGCAGGCAGCACCCGGTTTGCAGGCGTTCTGGGCGTCTCGCTTTTCATCGTCTATGGAAGGGGCGATCATCTTCTTCTTGGGAAGATGATGTTTTTTACTCCTTCGCTCGCAGCCGGCGGCCGGGCCGAGGGCTCGCCGGTGCCGGGCTCCGTGCGGGCGGTGCTGGACCGAGGGATCGCCCGTGCCGGGCTCTGTGCGGGCGGTGTTGGACCGAGAGATCGCCCGTGCCGGGCTCTGTGCGGGCGGTGTTGGACCAAGGGATCGCCTGTGCCGGGCTCTGTGCGGGCGGTGTTGGACCAAGGGATCGCCTGTGCCGGGCTCTGTGCGGGCGGTGCTGGACCGAGGGATCGCCCGTGCCGGGCTCCGTGCGGGCGGTGCCGGGCCGAGGGATCGCCGGTGCCGGGCTCCGTGCGGGCGGTGTTGGACCGAGAGATCGCCGGTGCCGGGCTCCGTGCGGGCACTGCCGGGCCGAGGGATCGCCGGTGCCGGGCTCTGTGCGGGCGGTGTTGGATCAAGGGATCGCCCGTGCCGGGCTCCGTGCGGGCGGTGTTGGATCAAGGGATCGCCAGTGCCGGGCTCCGTGCGGGCGGTGCTGGACCGAGGGATCGATCGCCCGTGCCGGGCTCCGTGCGGGCGGTGGCGGCCGGGACAGCGGCAGGGGGAGCCCGCGAGTGCCGAGCTCGGCCCTGTGGCTCGGTGGCTCTGTGGCTCCGTAGCTCTATGGTGCTGCCGCCATGGGCGCCGAGCGGGAGGCGCGGGCCTGCGCTGCCTTCTACGGCACACGGGGCCTGGCCCCGGCCGTGCTGTCGTGCCTGCGCTGCCTGCGGCACTTCGCGGGGTGAGAGCAGGGCGGGGAGGGAGGGAGCTCTGGGGATCGGCCCGGCTGCGGCTGCACCGGGAAAGCGCCGGCGTGGAGCGCCCGTGCATCGCCCGGCGYGGATCKCGGYATCCCCCGGGCATCCCCCGGRCATCCCCCGGGCATYCCCCGGGSGCGGGTCGGGAGGGAGGGAAGGAAGGAGAGAGGGAGTGTGAGAAGATCGACACCCAGCAAAGGGTTCGAGCCACCCTCGCGTGCTCCCATGCCCTTACAGCCGGCTCTGCAGCAGCAGGGCTGCACGTTTTRGGATTTTTGGAGCTCTTCTGACCCACCAAGGGGGGTCATGCATGCGCTGAGCTTTGAGGATTTCGTGTCGTTTTCTCCCGCCCCCTTCCCTCCTTCCTCACTCCAGTGCAATGCTGAGTGCAGCTGGGAGAGAGGAGCATCGCAAGCTGGGCCACTCCAACCCCAACACCTACCCA